CTCCAGCACTGATCTTAACACCCCCCCCTTTATTCTATCTATCTTCCTCTATAATCTTATGTTTCACGAAGGATCTTACTTGATTGTTCTGATGATCTCCAATATCTCTAAATTAGTTTCTCTTTTAATATCAATTACTTCTCTCTCTCCATTTTATCCAGGTTCCTCTTGATTACATGAGTCTCATTGTCAAAAACTTCTTGACTTAGACTATTAAGCATGCTTTCTTGACATTTATCAATTTCTTTTTTTTTTTTTTATATATATAATTCTTTTGGAAGTGCAGAGGTAGATACAGCTTTAGTGATGATACAGAACATGAACTAGGGTAACTAGAGCAAGACAAGATATGCACTTTTTTTTCTTTTTAAATGAAAATGATAAGAGAAACACAGGCTTAGTAACAAGCTAAACTGAACTGTCTAGACCTAGCTGGCATGGAAAGCTTGCAGGTAAATTAAATTGCTAGACATGCGGTTATCCTAGCTATAAAAGAACATGCCAGACTAATGTCTAAGAAAGTAATATCAAAAGAAAACAAGCAGGGTCAGATATAAGTTACCAGATGCACTTATCTGGCTAGGCCAACCTGTCGGAGTATCCATACATAACAAAAGTAAAGGGGATAGGAACAATATAGGATAGCTTGGCTGCTAAAGGAGCTGGGAAATCATCCGTTTCCCCCCAGCTCCCTCAACTGTATGCTGCAATGCGCCACCATGGTCTCTGGTGTCTTGAGAGACCGAGTGACATGTCTGCCAATTCGTTGCAGCACCCTCTATCAGGGTACAGTTGTGTGACACCAATATCAGTGGAATTACCGGGAATAACCCCTGAAATTCAACAGAATGAGTGGGTGCTCATGCAGCACACATCTGCTCGGCTCAAGTCTCAGGCTCTGCCCTCCTATTCTATATTTTATGTACTTTTCTAAAGTGGCCATTTCCCATTATTTTATCTTTAGATTTTTATTCAAATGTTTTTCCAAATGATTGCATTCCTTTTGAGTACTTTTTTTGTTATATAAACTGGGTTTTCCACCTAGTTAGCAAACTCTGTTTTAACATCAATGTAGGTATTTCTCCTTTTGTCAAATAAAGCCATATTTTGTAAGCTGCTATCATAACTTGCAATTAATAACCGTGAATCGAATGAGAAATCACATATATCAATATATAAGCAATATTACTGTAGTCAGCTGCTTCCACAAATTGCAATTCCCCAAAAACACATGAAAAACAAACCACACAAAATATTCGTTGGAGCACTATTTTCATAAATATCCAGTGAGTGAAATAAATAATATATTTTATATATAGTAATATATATATAGTAATATATTTGTAAAAATTTTTTTCTAGTTAAAGGACCACTATAGGCACCCAGACCACTTCAGCTCAATGAAGTGGTCTGAATGCCAGGTCCCCCTAGTTTTAACCCTGCAGCTGAAAACATAGAAGTTTCAGAGCAACTGCTATGTTTACACTGCAGGGTTAATCCAGCCACTAATGGCTGTCTCCCTGACAGCCACCAGAGGCGCTTCCACGATTCTCAGTGAAATCGCAGAAAATCGCATTGAACTCATGCAGCGTGAGTTCAGATCCCCATAGGAAAGCATTGGGCATCTGGCCTTACATGCGTATTCAGCTCCACTTGGGAGCCGACGTCGGCAGGGGGAGGAGAGGTCACCTGGATTAAGCTAAGTGGCTGAATGAGTTTTAACCCCTTCAGTCCAGCGGGAGTGAGGCCCAGAATGAGGGGGGGGTGGGACCTAATGTGATGAAACCACCATGTTATTCAGGACTTTTATTTTTTATTGGTTCGGTAGCAGTAAATACCGAACACCGACCACCCCCCTGGCTCATTAATTTCAAAGAGAAACTGTTGATTAAGTGCTCTCCCTGTGTGGCCGTCGCTTGTATAGTCGAACGCCATGTGCAGGAGAAAATGGTGGCCATCTTGTTCGCACGAAAGGAGGCAGCGGTACTTGGTCGTCAGGTGTCTGGAACTAAAATCGGACACTTGACATCCCGAACACTGGTCAAACTATACGAACGCCTGCTTACTTTTTCTAAACAGCCAGGAGAGCGATATTCGGTAGTTTTGTTCCCACAAACTAGGGGAACAATCATTGCTATGAACCAGGGGGTACCATTTGTGCATTTGTTTGTTTGAGACTTTCCAAACTATACAGACCGCACAACCTAAACTCATGGAACTATTTCTGGGCAGGAGCCTAATGTGCAGTCGGTCAACATTAGACTTCCGGAAAATTCCAAAACCCCTGAACTGATCTAGGTGATTTTTGGATATGTTGGTCACCCAGATCAGGGTTATCAGGGGATATAACATTTATGGGGACATTATGTGTTTTGGGGTACTTTTTAAGTTTTATGAAAAATGAGGTTTTTTTTCTGCCTGGAGATAATTGAGCTATTACAGTATCTGACTCAATTATCTCACAGGCAGAGAGGAGGGATTATATGTTTGTATTGGGAGTGTCACAGTTTGTAACTGTATTGTTATTGGTTGTAAACTTTGTATTGGAGTACCCAACAAGGTCCATATGGGAGTGCCCCTTGCATGGGGACTTGCATAAAAGCCAGTGTGGCACCATTAAACCTCTTTCCTGTTTTACCTTTCATCTAGTCTAGGCTGATATTTGGGTAACTGTCTACTTGCTGGGGAGAACACTACTTGGATGCTGCATACATCTGGAACCCTTCGAATCTACACCCGAACTGCAAGCTATAGGCGACCAGGGTATCTACCATACCAGCGTTCGTAACACCTAAAAACCCTATAGTGCCAGGATAACGGGTTTGTTTTCCTGGCACTATAGTGTTCCTTTAAGCATATACATTTTGCTGGCTCTTCTGACACTATATTTAATCATAATTTTGGTTTAGTGAATTGACTATTTAATAGAATAGTTTTACAAATGAGAAGTAGTCATTCATTTGCTCTGTTTGTAAGTTATCTATAGCATTGTTTTATTTACTCAAAGGATTACCCTTGCTTTTCAGTCTCATTGTATGCTTGGAGGTAAAACCTTAAACTCTTTATCATGTTCCTCAAACCATTCCTGAACAATTTGTGCAGGGGGCAGGGTTCATCATCCTGCTGAAAGAGGCCACAGGCATCAGGGAACACCACTGCATAAAGAGATGTACATGGTCTGCACCAATTTCTTAGAAGGTGGTACATTTTTCTGATACCTCTCTATAATGGCCAGCACTATGATTTTCAGCAATTTGAGCTACAGTAGCTCTGTGTGAGTTAGCCTCAAGAACTGACTGTTCACTTGCTGCCTAATATACCCAACCCCATGGCAGATGCCATTGTGACAATATAATCAATGTTATTCACTTCACTGGTCAGTGGTTTTAATGTTGTAGCTGATCAGTGTATTGAAAACCGACATAGGTAGCAAATAATCACTTTTACTATACCAATAAAGTGAGCAGCCAGGAAACATAGATGAATGAGAAGGTATAACGTAAATTCTCCAGGTAAGACACATTGTGTATTAATACTATGGGTCACACTGTTGCTAGCTAGACGTTTTACCGTGTAACACTCTGACTGGGGTTGCAACATCAGAGATCTAGAGATGTACCTTGCAAAAGAAACAGGAGAGCAATTCCAATCAACAAAAAGAGGAACAGAACCAGCTGTGATTGGCAGTTCGTATTTTTGAATAAAGACGGTCCATGTCAGTAGGTAGATAAACAGGCAGGGATCAGAATACTAAAGTCTACCTCTCCTACATGTGAGCAAGATAATAAAACATTTAAACTAAAAGCTGCACACTTTGGTTACACTCTATATTCTGTAGAAATGACAAATCATAAGATTAACTTTTGAAAATAACAAGGATTATGTCTCTGTCCTAGAAAAGGAAAGGAAATATTTTTGGCAACCAGATTAAAAGAGATCAGAGTGTAGTTGATGTGTCCCTTGGGGAGTTTCATTTGAAGAACTGTCCTTGTTACCGCTGTGCAGGAAGGGCATACTTAAATAATTCACATCAGCACTCCACCCTCCCTTTTCTTTTTGCAGGTTTTTAATCATGATTCTGGGCTAAAAATACAACAGACTGATGATTTTCCAGATTCTCTCTCTCATCGCCTGCAGAATCTGGGTCACAATTATCAAACTTGGCGTGATGTAAGTTGAGAGTGAGACAGATAGTTTAGTAAATAAACTATACAGACATATTTGCGACGTTTTATTTCACATATGCATTCTGATTATGCTTAATATATACATAATTTAAATTTTTGCTGTGAATAAAAATACAGTTTATCTTGCGAGGCCACAACAGCTTACATCTGAATTTTTGATAAACAAGAGTCATGCGCATCCAGTATAGGTGTGCACACCCAGGTGCTACCACAATTTTTTTGAGGACAAAGTTAAAGCAGCAAACGTTTCGGGCAGCAACCCTTTCTCAATGGCAGCCCTGATCACCTCAGATTTTAAAATGGCAATGTTGATGGAGGACTCAATTTCTGTGTCTGCCACAGATATGGTGGATGTCTCTACTAGAGACAGCCCCATCATTGTTAGAAGGCTCCATAAGAGAGCCTTCCTTGCCAGGGACATATCCTCTTCATCTTCTGAGGAGGATATAGTCCCAGTTAGTAAAAGAAAAAAAGAAGGCTTGCCTTTCCTCTTCAAGTTCTGAGGATGAACTTGATTTTGGTCCCTCTTCCCCTCATTCTTGTTTGAGTAGTCGACGTTTTAAAGGGACAGTACCTCCAAAAGCGAAACGTGCTTTTCCTTAGTTTGAAGTTTCAAGGCAGTTTTCTCACAAAAGGGACAAGACTCGTTTGAGTGCTGTCAGTCCCTCACCGTCCACCTCAAGAGCGTTTGCTCATTCATCCTCCCTAAGCCAGTCCTGCTCCAGACAGGGATCACCGGAGATTGATTGGGAGTGCGAGGAGGTGGTTCGCTCTGCAGCTTCCACTGAATGAGGGAAGTTGAGCAACATTCAGATGGACAGAGTGAGCCTTTTAGGTAAAGTGCTCCCTTCAAAATTATTCCATTCAAGATGGGCCATCGACCAAGAATCAGAAGTCAGGGATTTTGCCAAACTAGCTTTCAGATCACAGCTAGTTAAAGAGGATGACCTCCTCCTTAGAAATCATATTGGTATCCCTGACATTCAGGCGCTAATGGCCCCTGAAATTGATCCAGCACTGTTATCCATTACAGGAAGCAATGTTTCTGCGGATCCCATGGATCAGACATTGTGCAATGTACAATTTAAAATTGCGGATGCTGTTGGTCCCCTGCTACTTATGTTGGATAAGGCAGAGAAGGAGGGATCCTCTCATAACCCTTCCCTAACAGCTTTACTTGCTTCTAACATGGCACTTCTAAAAGCTTCCAGCAGAGCGTTGCTTATTATCGGTCAATCCTTCAACTATATTTCTAACATTCGCAGAACCCGCTGGCTGCATGCAGCAGGGATGTCTGATTTAGCACCAAAATCATATGAATTCCCTAATTTTGAAAACTCCTTTCTATTTGGCCCCTCTTTTATACAAGAAGTGAAAGGATGATATAAAGCTAGAAGATCTTTTTCTGATTTAAAGAAGAGCTTTCCAAGCTTCAAGAAGCCCTTTCGGACCGAGGGTTGTTCCTACAGGGCTACAGGCTCCCGGGAAGTTACTCAGCAAGCCCACTTTCGTCACCATGGGGGAAAGTCAAGACCCCCAGGCAGTAGCAGAGGAGCCCATGCCAGACGTGGCTCATCAGGAAACCGAAGACCCATGCAGTCAAGTAAGTGGTATACCTCACATCCCTTAAAATTGGTCAGATATAACCTCAGACAAATGGGTGCTTCAGATTTCCAAAAGGGGTTTACAACTCCCTCTCATTCAGTTTCCTTTCCACAGTCAAGCTCTGGGCAGAGAGGTATATCCAGTTCTAGATTCCTTTCTTTCCCAGGCATTAGCTCAGGGAAAAATAGAATTGGCAGATTTGTCAATTTCAGGTTGGATCAGTCCCTTGTTCCCTATTCCAAAATCGGACGGAACATGGAGACCAGTACTAAACGTCAAAGCTTTGAATGCTTTCCTTAAGAGGAAAAGGTTCAGGATGGAAGGTTTAACGGACCTCCCAGGCCTAGTGCCGAAAAATGTCTTCTGCATAAAATTATACCTCAAAGATGCTTTCCATTCAGTTCCTATCGCTATGAAACACAGGTGCTTTCTCAGATTCCGCTGGAAAGAACAGATATATCACAGGACTGTAATGGTGGTTGGCCTATCCAACGCACCTTACACATTTTCCAGGATAATGAAAGCTATTATATCCCACGTCAGGCAAAGAGGATTTCTATGCCTTTATTACTTAGACGACATCCTGTTGTTGAATCCAGAGGTAGATACTTTCGTTCAGCAGATAGATTACCTAATTTCCTTATTACAGGACCTGAGGTTTATTGTAAATCTTCAAAAATCCATACTAGTCCCTACTCAGAATATCCTATTTCTGGGTTTCATGCTGGACACTATGGATATGACCTTGGGTGTTCCCCGAGACAAATGGGAAAAAATCCTAGCTCAGATAACTTCAGCTCTTTTAAAACACAGATGGTCCCTAAGAGAGATAGCAAAGACTGTTGGGAGGCTGATAGCATTAACGCCGGGTTACGATGCTTCCCCCTTGCTATGCAGACAAAGTCAGCTTTTTCTAGGAAACCAACTGAGATGGGGTGGCCAGTGGGGGTCAAGGGTGGTCCTTCCCACGAGTGTCAGAAAAGAGCTAAACAAGATATTGGAAGGGGCAAGTCCACTTCCTCTGGGTTCCTGCTGACCGGGTTCATGCGCCCCGTCTTGTCCGGTCGTTTCACAACCGCTTCTCTCATAAGCTGGCTCCTTCCCAACCGGTGAGCGGTGTTCGAGTGGGGGGTGCTGTTGCGGCTCCCGAACCGCCGCATGCCGCAGCCGTGCCCGACCGGGCTTACCTGCTCGTCGGCGAGCCATGGAGCCGCTCCTCCACCTCCTCTGGGTGTCATGCCCAAATCAAAAATGGCGCCGACCACGTGGTCGCATCCATCTCAAGCTCCGCCCCTCAAATTGTATACAGGGGGGGCCTGTATACAGGGGGGCCAACAATCTTGGATGGATTTTGACCAAAAGCTGTATAACGAAAGAAATAAAAAATAAAGATGTTTTAGGGTCAGAATTAAAAGGTTTTTATAACTGTGGCAAATGTCAGGGCTGCAAAGAAACGACAATTAAGAGCAAATGTTACCAATAGGAAATATAATATTAATACTTTCATCTCCTGCAATGTGAATAATGTTATCTATTTGCTCGCTTGTGACTGTGGCATACAATATGTGGGTAGGAATACGAGATCTCTTAAAACGAGAATAGGTGAACATGTTCGTAATATTAAAAACAGGGTACTTAACCATTCAGTATCCGCCCACTTTGCCCAATACCACAACCGAGATCCAAAATGTTTATACTTTATAGGTATTTAAAGAATAATAAAACCATGGAGAGGGGGAGATTTTATGAAAATTTTAAATAAGGCTGAAATGAGGTGGATTTTTGAACTGGATACCCTTTCCCCTGCAGGCATGAACATAGATTTTGAAAATTTTAATTATATTTAAATTATGTTTTATAGTAATCAAGGAAGTGTTCTCTTTTTATATTTGTCACCACTTTGTATAATTTTTTATCACATTTTCAATCACGTTTGTTACATTTTACTTTTTTGGAATGTACCTTTTATATGATTTTAGGCTTTACTAATGGGGCTGATGCAATACTTTTTACACACATTCATTTATTTATTTAGATATGTATTAAGTCATAATATTGCTATGAAATCTGATGTATATGATGTTTTTAACCTTTAAATGTAAGTATTGATACTGCTCTTTTCTTTTTTCTATGCCCTTATGACAATACCATGAATTCCCTTATCCAAAATGGCCGCTGGATTACTTCCGTTTTTTCGGCCATGTATTCCAGAACAAAGAACTTGTGGGACTCATGGAGAAAGTCTTGGAGAGCCACTATACCCTGTGGGGACTTCTAGGATGTATATATATATGATTGTATGGCCATAATGATCTGTATGAACTTTGTGACTGAAACCGGAAGTACACGTCACGCCCAGGGACGTATTAGCCGCAAGGCAAACAAGGCATTTGCCTTGGGTGGCATTTTTCAGGGGGCGGCAAAAAACGCTGCCCCCAAATGCCCAGGGCAAATGCCTAGTTAGCCTTGCGGCTAACAGACATGCTAGGCGCTGGGCGGCGCTGGCTGATTGTCGGGCGGCTGGCGAGGGAGCTCTTCCTCTGAGCGGTCTGCTCAGCTCCCTCGCGCGCCACAGAGTGAGGCTGGGAGCCAGAATATGATGTCATATTCCGGCTCCCAGCCTCACTCTGCGGCATGCGAGGGAGCTGAGCAGTCAGCTCAGAGGAAGTGCTCCCTCGCCAGCCGCCCGACCATCGCCAGCCGCCCGACCTAGGGCAGCACAAAACCAGGATACACCACTGGTCACACCGGACCGGAAGTGACGTGACGCAAGTAAAGTGGGCGGATCCAAACAAGATTTTTGGCGCAAACTTTGGAAATAAAAGAGCAGACCCCTAACAACTATCAACATTTACCTGAAGAAGGCTGCTTGCTGAAACGCGTTGTGTTTTCTACAGAAGTTTTTCCTGTGTACAGCTTGCTGTGTTCCTATATGTAAGGATTTTTATCTATGTTTATAATAAATGTTTGAATTGTACCTTTAACCCCTGTTTATCATTCCATTGTATATGTGAGCACTGGGGGAGAACACAGGAGCTGAGGAACATTCCTTCCATCCTACCTATGTCTGTTTACATGAGCCAGTTTTATTTACAGGCTCATTAACATGTGAGTAGGATGTTACAAACATATTAATACAGTGTGGATATCATACAGACTATATTGCCCTATGTGAGGCTTTATGTTTTATAGGGATCTCTGTGGATAAAGTCCATTTTAAGTGTATATATTTTCTTTGTTTATTACACTTATAGTACACTGTGCACCTGTATTGTGTATTAGTAGAGCGCTGAACCTACTTTTGTTTTATCCTTGTCTGTATTTGGTGGGATTTAGTGGTTGATTCCTCGGTTCATGGCAGCACTACTTGATCACCAGCGCCATTTTTTATCGCTTTCCTGTCCTCTGTATATGATTTTGCATGTTTCAATTTCATGTTGATTTTGCATGTTTCAATTAAAAACACAACTGTCATCTATATACATTCACAGAAAGCTATCACTCCGAATAAAGGATTGTTTTAAATTTAGAAAACGATCGAATCTGAAAAAGAAAAAAACGTGCTGCGTACAACGAAAAATAAAAAAAGCTTTGCAGGCCTCCATGCTGGGGAACCAGTGACACAATTTATACTTCAATAATTGGTTCTGACTTCCTGTTGACTGAACAGCAATGGGGCAGAAAGTCATACAGCGCTCAATCTGTTATAACTTTCATACTCCATCTGATATCACATTGTTCAAACATTTATAATATAGTTCTAATTTTTTTTTTTTTAAAGAAGTTATTTAACAACATGAAAATTTGGAAACAATTATATAGATCAGGTAGAGTAGAGGCTGCACATAAGTGAGAGTCAATATACACAAGGTATAGAAGTGTGTTGTGGAGCTGCAGTTTTATAATCCCAGGATCTCTGCTGGTAGAATGCAATAACCAAGTACAAAGCTGGAAGCAGGCAATATTCCCAAATCCTCCCAAGAACCAGACGAAACACAGTCTGAGAGTCAACTGCCACTTTATTCAAAAAGACTGATATTTAAAGCAGGTCACTCAACTGTCACTTTATTAAAAATAACTGATATTTAAAGCAGGTCACTCAACAGGGGTTTCCAAAGATGGGCAGCAGGGGTTTTGGTTGAGGGGACTGGAGGGAGACTACCGTTTCCAGGTCCTCCTCCCAACAGCCCCTGCTGTAACATACAGTAATGAAAACTACGAGGACATAAACCGTTACCTTTCTACTTCAAAATATACAACTTAGTCAGTTTTAATAGCAATGCTAACGAATGGGGAGGATTCGAACAGACATACACAGTACAGCATAAATTAAACATAGCCGGAGACGCCACACTATACCGGCGCGCAGTACACAACAGAAAATAGGCACAACCATTCTATCTTAGGCAGTCCCAAGTGGCTAGGTTTGCCACAAAGTGTATCACAATTAAAGGGTACATCCAGAACCGACATTTGAGGTAGTGGACACACCAGCTATAACATTATCTCAACGCATATTTAAAGGGATTTTGCAAATATAAATTGACAGAATTATGTCAGCTTGTAGCCTGCTAATAATTTTATCTGTTTATCTGTATTGTGTTTTTTCAAAAAATACGAAAAAAATATAGATATATAGATATTTTAAAAATCTCAACTATGTTGTTCATTTCAGTATGTACATCGATGGGTATTTTTGCAGAAAGTGGGTGAACTAAAGCCTCAAAAGAAAAAAGAGAAAGCACACTGTAAAGAAAACGCCTGGCACCCTGACTGGGTACCTTCTGTTGACGGATGCTTCTAGTGCTTCCCGAGGGCTCCAAGCACTCCACCAGACACCATAACCACTGCAGACCCCACGAACCACTGCAGCTTGGGTGGGGTCTTGCCATCTTCCACCCACTCTGGACCCAATACCAGGGTCCAGCTTCCAGTAGGTAGACCTCTCTTAACTCCAGAGAGCAAGGACAGGAACAAGCTCTTACCAGAGCTTATTGATTATACCCTGGGGAGTATAGTGATTATGGCAATCCCCAGAGTGTAGTTCTCCAATCCCCCAAACATGAGCCGAATCTTCATGAAGGTGCAAGATGATCTGTTTAATGGTGGCCACAGCTTGGCCTTTTATGCAGGTCCTCCAGCAAGGGATACTCCCACAGGGACCTTGTGAAGGACTGGAATACAATTACAGTAGCCAATTGTAACGGAGAGCTGGTCTTTCACAGGTTAACTCCAATAAAGAGCCCAGTGAGGCTCAGGAACAAGTAATAAAATCCCATAGAATAATAATCACAGCAAGCAAGGTAATCCACGGATATCCCGATACAGATCCCAATGACTGGACGACACACAGCATCAGGAGCAGAACTTAACTTTTAATCACACAACCTTCTTTTAAAGCTTTCTCCCATGCAAGGGAGGATTCACAATAATTATTACAGTAGCCAATAGTGTAACAGTTACCTCCCACACATCTCCTCCCTTCAGTGTGACACATAATCCCATTAAACATACTGTAGTTTTCCCCGATTTCTGGATGTACCCCAAAACAGGCAGATGGACTGATATACTGGGTACCCTTTTGTAGCCCAGATCTGGGTGAACAACATATTCAAAATTCGAGGGTTTAACTGAGATAAATATCCCTAACCAGATGGGGCAACGGGTGATTGTTGGTAAAGTACGTTTTTAAGTGCCAAGAAGGCTGGGAACAGGCCCCACGGTCACCTTGTATGGTACAGAAATGTAGTTTGTGGTACCTAACAAATAAACACAGTTCATTACTTTTCTAACAACCTACTTGGCACCTCTACTTTTACCCTTTGTGTCACTATACCTCCCTCTAGCATGTAAGTTCATTGAGCAGGGCCCTCCACCCCCTCTGTTACTGTACGTCCTGTTGTCTGGTTACAATTATTTTTCTGTTAGTCCACCCATTGTACAGCGCTACGGAATCTGATGGCGCTATATACATAATATAAATAACAATAATTAAACACAAAAAAACTGATAAACAATATAACAGCATGGAGAATA